AGTGTTATGGTTGATGATCCTTTCATGACCTGAAGTTAGACTGGTCCTTGCAAAGTGTTATGGTGTTACCCCAAAAAGCAAATAAAATATTAAAAATGTAAAACTTCATGTGTTACATATCATCATCGTAATGAAATTGATAAATGGTTTCGAACATTGCTCCGAATTAATTTGTCTTTATGACATTATGCTTCCACTTCGGCATCCAATTAAAAATGTGAAAGAAAGTTTATATTTATTAAAACAAACACAACACATTAATAAATAGATAAACATGTTAATAGATCCATGGTTTAGTAACACTAAGCAACTAGAAAGAATGTGCTCAGGATTTACTTTAAAAAAAGAAACAGTTGTAAAAGTATTTGTTGAGAAAATGGACAGTGAATTCAGTTAATACACAACATAGAGCATGTTCAGTTCCAATAAATTATTTAACCATTTCAGACAGCTATATTGTTAAGATGAATTATGTAATGTTTTTGCACAGCTATATCCAGGGGCGCCTGAAAAATTATTTTCTATGGTGGGGTGGGGCGGGAGCAACATGTAATAGTCAGCTATTAAGTTTTATGGATGTAGGGGGATATATAAGTGTGACAAATTGGCGGCGTGCAAAAAAAAAACCCACACCAACCTCTTTCACTACGGTTCGTTGCTAGGGAATGACCTCCGCGGTGTGATTTACACAGTGTGGATAGATAGAAAAAAGAATGCAGATCACTGAACAAGCATATTGAAGAAATGAACACGACGAGCCCCCTTTCAATGAACAAATATAAAATTTAATCAGTTTATCAACAGAATTTAAAATGAAAAGAAATCAATGACTTAGTTACAAAAGAAGGAAAAATGGTACTAACATGTACTCAAATAAAAAAGACAATACAAATTTCTTTAAATGTAAAATTGCTTTCAACGTTAAATTGCTATCCTCATTGCCAATGAGATGTGACCTTTGATTGCAACGATGAGAGACTTCATCACCTAATTTATGCAGACATCAAGACTTCCGTTCGTCCCTGCTCTGTCGATCTTTGTCTAGCTTTTTCGTCTTGGACTCTTGTCCGTCGAACTCTGACTTAACAATCGTCTCTGGACTTAGATTTCTGCGTAGAACTTGTTCTGGTCCTATGATTGTTCAGGGATTTCTCATGTGAATCCAGGAAAGCTGTTTCTTTTTTCCGTTTCTTTTTTTCGTTTCCACGAATCTCACATATAGTCTTGTCTCCTAACTGAGACAACTATCTGGCCCCTTACTCAATAATGAAGACGTACTTTTTACGAATTCAAAATGTAGAGTTTGCCTACTTGCTGAGACAAAACTCTCGCTTTACTGCCAAATCACGAGATAACGTCTCACACGATCCCGGAATCATTTAACTTCCCTTGCGAAAGATTAAAGACTGCTGAATTTTCCTAAAGTAAAACCTTTAATTTCTTACAGAGTTACGCCCATAAATCCATATTAACCAATCGGAATAGACTGTTTCCTAAACCTGTTCGCAGAATTTTTGGATTGACAAGAAACTAAACAACTAATCATGCTGTAATTAATCATTTACTTTGAACAATCATCTATAGCCAGCTGCCGCCTTTAACCGGTCGCTTTTGGAGAAAGGTCTTATGTCATTCTCTCGTACCATAGCATCTGACTCGGTCATGTTACGTCGGCTAGAACGAATTCCCTTTTGACGTTCAGAGATGAAATGAAAATAATCATCTAACTATCTCTAGCCCTTTCCACTTTAATTAAGTTGACTTTGATACAATTCCTTTAACCAAAGCTTCTAAGAGTTTTCAAAATTCGACACATCACAATGGGTAGAGGACAAATTCAGGCGGGGGGGGGGAAGGAAGCCGGGATACCAGTATGATAAGTTAAGTAACCATTTCGCACAGGTATATCAATTGTTTTAATATATTGTCAACCTGAAAAGTTTTTATACGTATTACGCGTGAAAAGCAATTATGATAAAAATAGACCCGCATGTCAGAATCGCGATCTTTCGTTTGTAATATGTTTGGATGTTTTACCATTTTTCTGCATTTCTTTACATCATTGTTGGTTTTTTTTTCTGTTTCAATATCCAGTATTTGAATCTTTGATTATAAGAAATCGTTTATGATATAAAATGTTGTCTCTATATGCAAAAATAAAGTGTTGATATAAAAGTAATTGTTTATTTCAATAACTGCTATTCGATTAAAATGTTTCCTTTTTGACATAAGGATTTTGTAAATTAATGTTCCATCTGAAAATAAATATTTTTTAAATATCAAAGAACACGTTCTTAATTGCCAATATTATGTTTCTTGATGAAACAATAATATTCCATATCATTTCCGAATTAGAATGACGATCCGCTTTTGTACTTCACCTAACATACATTCTGTACTAGCTGCAGCCTTATAATTTCTGATACACATATTGGAAATGGAAATGTTTATAGCACAAAAAGCGACAATTCAAGAGCCAAGAAGTACTTAATCTAAATCATCAAAGTAATATACGCCCCATCCTCTTTAATTTTAATTAACTCTGTTAATATCGAGAAAATAACATTGTTCTATATTTAGTGAACTAATTTTACTACTAAATCAGTATGCACTAAGTGACTATGGCAATAAAAAAAATCTTTCGTCTTGAAAACGCCGTGAAAGTAACCATAATAGTGCTATCTAATTACGATTCATGTGAGATAACTAAAAAAAATCATAGATTACGAATGGGACATGGATAAACCTATATAAATCAAAGTGATAATATATGCACATCTCTCTAAAAAAAATTAAAAAGGATGAACACCGATATACAGATACCGTCTACAGATTAACCAATGAGGCTTAAAACCTTTGAACTTTTCAGAAATTGCACAATTGCAAAGATAAATACTTGTGTTATGTATATTGAGTTCATTAATTTATCTTGTGTACTTGATCTTTATCCGCGATTTAAGGTAGAGCGGTTATGGCGTACCAGACTTTCGCAACTTTTTAATTTTTTTTAAAAAAGAATTTGTTTCTGTTACTGATATATAGTTCAAGGCCATGTCTTATTTACAAATTTATAATGTTCTGGAAGAGAATGTTTGACCCACATCCTGATCATTTTATTGCGTCTTAAGTTTTTATATCAGGCTGAAGAAAACAAGTGTTTCATTCTTCCTTTAAATTCAGTCTATGGAATTATTTAAAGCTGTCTTCAGATATAATTTGAGAGGAATCAGTTATTTGAATTATTCATTTAAATTACAGAGTGTCCATTGACAGTTTGGACAAAATCACTATGCTCGGATTATTGTGAATTCATTTAAAGACAATCTGGATCATATCATAGTAATACATCAAGAATATTGATACATCAGTACATTCAATATTGGAATTTATTTGGAACGCTCTATACATCTGGACTATGATAGTACATTTAGGAATAGGGATTTACTTCACAATGCTGTAAATTCTCTTAAATTTTCACTTTGTAATTTTGAGAAATAAATTCATTTGTTTATTTTAATAAACTTGGCGGTTTCGATTCTTTCTGTTATTTAGTTTGAGAATCGTAACACTTGATCTTCGCGTCGTTGGCATTATTTACCCACTAAAAGAATATTGCGTGATTCATCTGATCCATACTGATATACTTTTAACGAACCTTTATTGTAAGCTTTAAAATTTGTGGTTCCAAACTTTTTTTTTTTGCTAATCTCTCGATACAATTCAGCAATTTGTACATTTTATCCCTCTTCTTGGCAATTTTGAAAATTACTTTTCTTTTAATTTTTTTTAGTATTGTTTGAAACTAAATTGTAAAAAGGAATTGAAACTTTTCCAGTAAGCTACAGAGAGGATTCCATAATATCAGCATTAAATTAGATATTTATGTAAGTGCCAAACTTTAGATTTCACGTATAATATTGTGACTCAGGATTTCTCCATATCAACATGTAAATATGAAGAGAGTGAATTACCTTGCTCTCAGCACAGAACTTGCTGAAAATTCGAAGAAACTTTCAAAATGTATTAACAGAAGATGTTTTATTTATTTTAAGAACTTGATCGTGTTTTATTTGGGCATTAGTTGATTGATATTCTGTCATTTCGATTTTCTGAATCATGCCATAAGTTAAAACCCGTCTCTATTTCTGATTTAGTTTATCTCGAGATTGTATTCACATATCATTCATTGGTTTGCCCTTTCAACTAATTGATTCTTTTTGCTATCTAATATTGTATTACTTTCCAATCATCTAGAGTATTGTCGAAGGCAGTGGAACTTAAATAAAATAGGGAATCTATGGTTACTCCCAAACATTAATGTTTAAAACACTTAAATTGCAGTTTTGGTGTAGGTATCTGAATGTCTTGAAAGTGAAATGATTTTACTGTTTCTTATTGGCTTTTTTCCACAAGAAAAACAATGTAACGATGCGATAAGAACAATAAAACTGAAAAGCAAAAGCAGAAAAATTACTAATTAACAATAATTTGATTCTCCGGGTTATAAAATGAAAATTTAAGAGGAACGTGCAATATTGTGATTTATATCCCCAAAATCCTGAACGTTTGAAACACAAGTCTAACAGAATAGAGTGTTCTGAATGAATTCCAGTTTTGAATATGCTGATTAACGATGGCCTTGGACGTACATATGTGCAAGCAGTCATGCTGTATTATAATGATATAATAAAGAATGTTTTTGAATGCATTCATAGTAATACAAAAATACTGTTTTAGGTCAAACAATCAAATGAGCACTTTTGTAATACCAAGAGTGAGTTTGTGATTTGGATTTTTAATGTAGCTTTAACAATTTTTCAGTCATATCGCTACAGTATATAGTGATGTCTAGCACTGGGGCATCATGCCGCTGACATTTAGCATCATGTCTCACCCTGTCGCAATATCCTGACACCAGGCTGACGAGTTCTAACACTAACCTCTTTATTCTGAGCATCTAGCGGGACAGAAACTAGTACCAATTTTAGGAGACTTTGTTGTGACTTGGCTGGGGTTCAAACCCGCGACCTCTCGCATCTGAGGCGAAAGCTTTAATCACTTAGGTCACCGAAGCGGTTTGTAATTCCAAGAAATAATTTTAATAAACGGTTCCTCTCAAATTATAACTCTAAACACAACAATAAATACTTCAGACTGAAAATAAAATGCTATCATTAATATGAATAGGAATTCTTCCTTAATTGTATCCTCACAACTCCATGTCGTAATATTTACCCTTTTTGATATATTTTGCAATATATCACCACCTGATATTTGTTGCAATTCAACCCTACCAGACCTACGTCAATAATTCACTCACCCCAACAGATAATTGCCCTAAACTGTAACTAGATTCATTTTCTAGAACCTTCTAAGTTCACACGGTTGGTTCTAGAATTCAGATCTAGAAGCGACAATTTTATAGCATATAAATGATCATTATTTTAGAATATAACCTTTCGTCATGGATGAAAATAGCTATGCAATATTTAGTTCATAAACGATCATTACAATCTACAATCACGTACAAAAATTAAACACACGATAAAGATATACATAACACATTGCATAAAAATTTGCATCAGCACGATTCTATATCTGAAATAGTTATGGCGCAATGCGGTATCGTCTGCAAAGACAGCTATAAATAGTATTGTGGCAGTATGGGGTCTAAGTACATCAACGTTAATCCACCATTGTAGAATTCATGCGGTCTATGGTCCAATCTCTGTTAATACGTTGATAAATGTAATTAGTATGTAACTCTAGAGACAATAAGAATTTGCCATTATGATCTGTGTAGGATTTATAAGGTCTATATTAAAAAATCTATTTGAAATGTCCATTGGTTTAACACTATGTCTGGAATAAAATGTGCTATATAGTGGGTCGATTTACACTATCCTTCACGACCATCATCACCCCATTTTACTATCCAACACACAAATTGGAGTGACCAACACTAATTGATCTAATGACAAGAGAGAGAGAGAGAGAGAGAGAGAGAGAGAGAGAGAGAGAGAGAGAGAGAGAGAGAGAGAGAGAGAGAGAGAGAGAGAGAGAGAGAGAGAGAGAGAGAGAGCATACTAAATCAAGGATCGTAAACATGAACTTTACTTTTACCGTTCAACAGTGACATGACCGAAACGTTACAACATTGATCCAGCCCTCCAACTTATCCGATATAAATAAGCTATTTTAGTTCTCAACATAACCAATAAGATTACACTAATTCAGTTTTCTGATACTTTTGTTAAAAATATTTAAGTTCGGATACCTATTCATTCTTCCTAAATTGTTAGATAGCAATGAAACGAGCAAAGAAATTAATGACTGGAATTTAAAACTTTTGCTTTATCATAACACCTATTTAATAAATTCATTTAAAATAGATTCAGATGTTTGGCTACTGTGATTTTATTGATCAAGTCAGCGGGATGAAATAGTGTTGTCAAATTGGTTAAGTCAGAGGACTGAAATAGTTTGATCGTAGTAATTAAGTCAGTAGTTAACTCTCTCTCTCTCTCTCTCTCTCTCTCTCTCTCTCTCTCTCTCTCTCTCTCTCTCTCTCTCTCTCTCGTGTGCTTAATAAAATGATAAAAGTTCAATATGGTATTTCAATCTGGCGATAAATCTCATTCATTTATTCATGTAAGCTTTAGGAATGAACTTGGCTGTATAGCTATTGCAGTAATTTATCAATTATTATGTACAGGTAGCGCGCGATTCATCTTACAACAAAACAGAAGAAATGTAGCTCATAACGTCCATGAAATCAATTACTTATTCCTTCCTTTGACAGTTTTATGTATATGCTTACAAAATCTTGTCGGAATGTTTCTCGGGAATAAGTGGGCATTTTCGCTGGGCAGTGGTCAGTCGTGACAGTTCGGACAGCAATAGCCCACTGCTCTAATTTTCGTAATGTCGAACAGTATTTGCATCATTCACTAATCCGGAATAGTAACTTGTTTACACGAAACACTGACCTGTCTCCCCCCCCCCAGCAATATTGATTAGAAAATTAATTACGACCTGGCTTTCACCTTTTTGAGGGCTATTGGCCATTACTACATTTAAAACTCGAATGTAAACAAGGCAAAAAATTTAGAAGAATGTATTTTTCGCGTGTGGGAGAAAAGAAGGCTCTTCATTGTTTGTTTTTGTTTATTTTTTGTTTTGTTTTCATTTCTATACGGATAATAATGATATTGGTGTGGGTCTGGATTTAGTGTATTTGTCCCTCAAGGGGAAAGAAAACTAACTGTAGACATAATTTATTACCCATAAATTGAAATCATTATTGGTCTAGCGGATAAATAAAGGTAGGAAGAGACCGGCTTAAGGAAAGATATTCCGAGCAATAGTTTGAATATGCATGACAAAATGAGAAGGACGCATAACAGTAATAAAACTGGAAAGATTTAAATATTAGTTTTGTACGTTACTTATTTTGCAGGACATATTTGATACATCACAAAAATGTACAAGTTGTATTCACGAAAGAATCTGGACCGTATGTTAATTGGTGGATTTACAATTATTTGAATAACAATTAAAGGAAAATTTTGGATGACTACTACGCAAATATAAAGCCTACCATTATCAAATTTAGGCAGACATTGGAGGAAGAACAAAATAAGATACCCATATCCGTGTACCATAGCTTGCTTTTAGACATTGCTTCGCTTTTAGACGTTAGCTCGCTTTTAGACATTAGCGTGTCAAATGCTGCAAGAGTATCTAAGCGATATTTCAGTAAGGCAAAAAATATACTCACTTCTATACAATTATACATACATACATACATACATACATACATACATACATACATACATACATACATACATACATACATACATACATACATACATACATACATACATACATACATACATACATACATACATACGTACATACGTAAATACATACATAATGTGTGTGTCTATTGGTGTGTCTGTGTGTGGGGTGTGTGTGTATGGGTCTTGTATGTAATCTATCCATGTGTAAAATCTATCCATGTCTAAGATTTTGGTGTATATTTCCATACTTTTATGTATTTATACCTACATGCATAGATAGACACCATTACAGGATTTACAATTGTGCTTAGTTGAACTTAAGGACAGGGCCCTTGTTGGCCAAGGGGTGGGGGTATCTTCTTGGCAAAAAAAAAAAAAAAAAAATTACGGTGAATTTTTCAAACGTTTGTGGCTATTTTAGCTTCTCCTAAATTTTCTGAGCATACATGTCTGCCATACCGGGCCTACCGCCTTCAAGGCCCAATTAAGGGGCCTCAAAACTTAACTCGCACATGGTCTCATTTGTTCTAAATCCGACACTGATAGACATACGCTTAAACGCGTATACATATCCGCTGAACACCTACACATATATTCTTCTATTCTCTTTTACTAAACTTAGCATTAAGTTTCCTTCTAGAAATTGGTTAAATTTCCAAATGAATGCTCAATGTATATTTGAAACTTAGGTTTCAAGAGATGCTTTCATTTAAAGTTTACATGAGTCTATTTAGAGTTCACATTTAGAGTTCACTTTAAAATCAATACACGAGGTCTTTGTTTCACAGCATCTTTTGATTTGGAGAAGTCTTAATAAATTCTGTGTCAAGATTTTTTTTACATTAATAATATATTTTACCTCATATTTACTGTGGATTTACTTTCTCTTCGGAAATTTAAATTTGTTTTACTCAGGCACTAATAATAATAATAATAATAATAATAATAATAATAATAATAATAATAATAATAATAATAATAATAATAATAATAATAATAACAACAGCAACAACAACAACAATCAGAAGACAAACTTGGAGTTTTATAGAATAAATTAAAATTTACCTTTAAGTCAAAAAGATTGTTAAAAGTGTCCTAAACCTTGCACAAGTATGTAAATGCAATAGGCAGTCTATCAACAAAAAAAAAAATGGCTAGTCGGTCCGTATAGTAAGTATATCAGGTTCAACACCTTTAAAAGCAGGCGACACAAATTTGAAATTAACACCAGTATTGGTTTTTAGAAAAGAAAAAAAAATAAGCAAGCAACACTGTTTTGCATTCGGCCCTATTATTAAAAGATCGCAGAATTTCTGGCAGCTTTGAGAGGATAAACATTTGTAAAAAAAATTTTCAGTCACGTTAGTCATTACTAAATAATATCAAGAAATATGACAATGTTAATCTGAACGATAGAAAAATGAATGGACTTATTCAGTTATTTAAATATGGCCAAAATTTCTTTTTTTTTTCATTATTACTGACAACGTGATTTGTGTTATTTCTTTATCATACATAGATGCTATTATATAGTCAGAACAATACAATTGCTGTAATTATATGTGTTTGGTCAATTTTTTGCCCGGTTATGCATTGCTCATGCAATTTTTAAGGTAGAAAAAAGATTAGGCCCAGAGGGAGCGGTAAATATGACAATGCAGTATATTTGACCATGTAAATTAACGGGTACGAAACGACTAGTGCCTTGGGCACAAAACAACCAGCACCTTGGGTACGAAACGACATATTTCCACTAGGTACGAAACGACATAGGTACGGAATGATCATGAGCCGTTGTCTCCCCCTAGTAGGAACTCTTCAGTGTATCTTTTGCGCATGTGGTAGCTGATGTTTAAACTTCCGTGGGCTATTCATTCGTCAGCTGTTACACGTTCCTCGTGGTAAAACCAAACATGTATTTTTGTATTTGTAGCAATTTTAGAGAGAAGGAAGTAATTGGGAAAACAATATCATTGCACAGATTTCCTGCAAGATGTAAACTACTACGTAAAGTTTGGCTTCAGCGGTCACGGCTAGTATGGAAAGATCTCTCTTGCACAGCTACTCACTAACCGACAAATGTGTTCCGATCATTTTGTGAAAGAAGTGAACCCTTAACAAAGGGCATCCAGTGCCTTCAGTTTTCAATGTGTTTCAAATGTTGGTAAGTGGCTACATTGAGTACTATTATTCTCCATCCATTTTAAACGATGTGTGGGGTAGGATTTATTCTTAATATGTGGTTTTAGATGTTGGGTAGTATTTATTCCAAT